TCAAATTTGAGCCTACCTAAAAAATTTCACTATAGGAGGTTGTTTTGATGAGTAAATATCTTCAAATTGATCATCTCGACATTAAGATGCATGGACATGAGAAAAAAATAGATTTCAAGTTTTGAAAATAGTGTATTTTGTAACGCATTTTTGGACCGTCAATTTTCAAGATTTTCAAGTTTTCATAGATCTGTCGATCTACACTATTTTTGAAGCTTTAAAATTTATAAATAAATATAAAAATATATTTTAAGGTTATCACAAAGATTTTCAGTATTGAAACCACATTTCTCGACACTATTTGAAGGTAGGCTCTAATTTGATTGTTTAGAGCCTAGGCTCTATACAAACCGCACCCTTTGAATATTTGTCTACTATTATGCCTATGCTATTTCTATTATTATCCTTTCTTATATAACAAAAATTGTACCAATCTATTTCTTTAGCTTTTTCTCCTTTCCATTTAGTTTTCTGTAGACAGACTATGTTTGGTCTCCTTTGTCTCATTGTATCCACTAACACCATACTCTTACCCATAAATAAAATATGTATGAAAAATTATTTCTTTTTATATATTTATACTATATGAAATAATTTTTTTTAAATAGCTTATAAAAAATTATTTGATATAGTATAAAATCTATCAAAAAAATTTTTATACAAATTTTTTTCATAGACCAGGACCTGAGTGAGGTCCACGTCAAGTCTGTTAAAATACAACGTAAATAGTGAAAGGAGAAAAAGCAAAAGAAAAGGTAAAGAGATCAAGTGCTCAATGAGAGAGAAAATGAGGAAAGAAGAGGACGTTGATAGAGGAAGAAAGAGATAAGGTGACGCTAGGTGATACTGACCTCCAACAGCTCTCATATATTTATATCAATTATAAAAACTTTACTTGTTGTAGAAGAATGTTTTTTTGTGGACTAAAAGACAGATAAGTTCTTAAGTTAAATATAATATAATGATGATTAAACCTTCAATAATCACTCTCACAACACTCCTCCACAACACTCTCCCTCAAGATGATGCATACATAGCAATCATGCCCAACTCTCTTAAGATAACTTGTAGTTGATGTTTACCAACAGCCTTTGTTAGAGTATTTGCCAGCTGATCCAAGTTAAATTTCTCTACTAGCAACTCTTGTTTGAATAAAATGTCAGTCTACTTCGATATGCTTGGTCCGATCATCTATCAATTGTACTATGAACCAAGCGCTTTACAATATAAACTCATTTGTAACCAACCTTATGTTTAACAATTGCGTAAAGGACTTATTTGGTTGTTGTTTTATGTTGATGATATGGAGATCACCGACAATGATTCTTTAGGCATCTGTGATACTAAACATCACCCGATGGAGTGTTCTGAAAAGGAAGACCTGAGCCTACTTCAATATTTTCTTGGTAATTAAAAGATTCTTTGGCTCATGGGTATGTTCTCTCCCATGTCAAGTGTGCACCATATATTATGTAGAGGAATACTTCTAACAATTAAAATTGTTGATACTCCTATTAGATTGAATGTCAAGCTTCATCCTAAATATGGATAGTTGCTTTCTTATCCTACTTGATATTGACATGTTGGCGTTCTTAAATTATTCAACAATTACTCACCCTAATATTAGTCATTGTTGTTCATATGATTAGTCAATTTATGTAATTTCCCCACTCTGTTCACTTTGTCGTTGTGCTTCGAGTCATGTGCTATGTTTGAAGCACTATGTTTCACTGCTTACTTCTCTCTCTCCTATACGTTTGCTCTTGAACTTTGTGCTTATTGTAATGCAGATTAGGTAGGATATATTATTGATCGTCATTCTACTACTAGTTTCTTTATTTTCCTTGTGGATTAGGTAGGATATATTACTGATCGTCATTCTACTACTGGTTTCTTTATTTTCCTTGATGATTATCTCATCTCATGGAAAAGTAATAAACAAGATGCAATTGCTCATTCTAGTGCAGAAGCTAATTACTAGGCTCTTACACATACTACGATGGAAATTTTCTAGTTACAATGGCTTCTTTGATACATGGGCTTTGCTCACTCTAGTCCTATTGCACTTTTTTTTTTTTAACGACATGAGTGCAATTCGGATTGCTTATAATAATGTGTTCCATGAGTAGATGAAACATATCGAGATTGATTGCAACTTTGTTTGCTGTCATTATCTTCACGGTACTATTATTCGCTGCCCTTTGTTCTTTGAAGGATTAAGAAACTTATCTTCTCACAAAGGCTCACCCAACAGCTCGTTTTCGTTGTTTTTTATATAAACTTCACTTGCTCTCTCTTAAAGCATCTTGAGTTTCATATTCATGATCTCCATGTTAGAGATTACAATGTCTTAAGAATTAAGTCTTAAAATCCATCTTAAAAATATATTTATTAAGAGGCCCGCATTTCTACATATGCGGGCTTGGCCACCTAGAAACTGGGTCCCAAATTTATTCAACAAATATTTGTGAGAACATATAGATTTCATCAGTGTTTCTCTAGAAGCACTTGCTTTATAAGCCTCTCTAAGTTATTATAAGAGCTACCTCCAAATTGAACAGCATTTTTTGACATCTTTTTCCATTTCTTGGCCTTTAACTGCATCTCTTTACCCTTCTCTCCTTCCATCAACTCTCTCACCAATGCCTCCACCTCCTCCCTCTTAACATCATTGTTTATCTCCATCCCAAGGCCCCATTCCTTGCAAACGTACCTGCAATTTGTTTGTTGATCCGCAAAGAAGGGCCAACATATCATGGGCACGCCATTGCAAATGCTCTCAATTGTAGAATTCCACCCATTGTGAGTTAGGAAGCCACCAATTGCATGGTGTGACAGTACTTTCATCTGGTTACACCAACTCAAGATTAGCCCTCTTTCTTTAGTTGCTTTGACAAATGCTTTTTCTAATGCTGCCGATTCTTCAATTACGAGATCTTCGCGAATGATCCATATGAAAGGCCTTTGGCTATTTGCGAGACCCCAAGCAAACTCATTAAGTTGGCTGGGTGTTAAAACTGTCGTACTGCCGAAACTCACATACACAACTGACTTAGGTTTCTTGTCGTTGAGCCATTCTTCACAAGCATCCTCTTTCCAAAGACTCGTAGAAACCAACTGTAAATGGTCATTGGATTCACTTTGGCTAAAGCTTGCAAACGGGCCGATTGGGTAAATTGGGCAACGGATTCTTTCTCTCATGGCATCGAGAACAGGTTTCTCTAATTCTTCGAATGTGTTGAGAATGATAGCCTGAGATTTTAGAGAAAAAGGGCTTTCAACCACGCACATTTGTAACATGGGATCATTAAGATTGGTTGTCCTAATGAAGGAGGGTAAGTCCCTTAGACGGATATTTGGAAGGCCAGGTATCCAATCCAAAACTGCATCTAGGTCGCCGTTGGTCATGAAATTCTCATCTGCATTCACCAATAACACAACATCTACCATATGAGATTTTTCTACGGGGGCCAATTTGGTCGGGACCGACTCAATGACCTAGGGGTTTGATCTGATCTGCATCTGAGTCCGCATCCAAGTTTTGGACCGGGTCCAAGTCCAAATCCCGGG